CATCGAAAAGCCTTCTCCTCTCACTTATCCGTGGATTTTCTGGGGAAAAATAGTGGACGGGGTCTCGTGCGGTGCGACTACGCCACTTCATCTCTGCTCCTTTGCGCTCTCTGATAGGTAGGGAAATGGCCCGTGTCCTCCCCGCATTTATCGTTATATCCTTCAAAATACTTATCCCACAACCATCTCAACCATCTTCCATTGAACCGTATTCCAGCTCGTGATCTCTTCGTTACAAACTTTATCACCATCACTCAAGACTATCTTTCCAGGTGCCGTTCGCATCCCTCGTGCTCATCTTGTTGGTAGCAGTGGCCGTCTCAATGAATCCGTTGACAGCATGTCCAGCGCTTCTAGTGAATACACCATAAAGGAAGAAATCGAACGAAAGGTATGCCTGCGACTGGCTTGCTTACCCCCAACAAGTAGTAGAAACCGTGCACAGTGACAGTTTCAATACACAGTAACGGTTCATACTTTCAGGTAATCACTGATGTGACAACAAAAGAAATCAAGACCACAACGACCACTGACAGTGCCGGAAACGTTGTGACGACAACCGCTGAAACCTACGCCTATCCACAACATACTGTATCCCATGGAGAAAGTGCAGCAGAGGTCGGATTTCCTACGAATTTCACATTCAATTTTTACTTCTGGATTTGAACTACGATCTAACTCGTTCCCTTCTGCATGAGTCTGTTGTTGTCACGGCTGCGGAAGGATCGCAACTTTTCCGAGATCCTTCTAGCACATCTTTCCAAGGTTTTCCTAGAACTCTACGTGGCCATCTACCAGGTGCATTCCTCCACCTCAGCACATCTGTCAACCGTGAAGCTCCCCTCATTCTTCATTCCTTTCTGCCTACTTCCTTGCTTTTCCTCCTTTTCATCTTTTCCCCCCTTCTCGCCACACTCCATATATCAGAGAGGAGGAGGACCTGGCTCCGTACTTCAGTGAAGCTGGTGGTGGTTATGCTTTTGGCTGATATTGCCGTTTGGGGACAACTGTAAGAATGTCTTTGTCCAGCACAAGACAGGATGACAATTGTCTTGAAATATTCCACAAAAAAGGCACCTTCCGCCAAGTTCAAATGGATTTAGCAGCTACTCCTTCTTTGTATCCGGCATATCATTTGTTAGCCCAAGCAACATGAAGAGAAAATGACTACACGATCTCCAACGGGACAAATTCTGCTTGAAAAGTCCTTATAATGGCCTTTTTGAAAAGCACCATAGTGCCCTCATTGTTACTACACATTTTTCTCGCTTAGACTTTCATTCTAGTTCTTCTGATTCTAGGCATCGCGTTCTTCCGTTATGGTCGGAGAGTCTTCATCATATGCAGCACGAAATGCGGAATACTCCAATGCTTCAGCATTCACTGACGTGAGTAGAAATGAAATTGCCATAGCGTCTGTTATGGGGCTAAAGGCACTTCTTTCAGCGACAATACCGTCATTCTGGTGAGGAACGTGAGCGAGGTGAAAGCGTAGCGGAGTTCTCTATTGGACGAGCCAAGTCGAAGGATTATTTGACTCGAGAACGCGATCTTGTTGAATATTCTTCGGTGAGTGGTTGTCATTTTGCCCCACTTATGTTACCATTGAAGCTTCCACACTTTTCCTGTCATTATCGTGGCAACCATTTTAGGAGCAGGATATGTCGCAATCCGAGGAGCATGAGGTTGGCGACGTCCACACTCGTGTCACACACTCGCACCATTACGAACCGATAAGGAATGGCGAATCGGAGCGATTCCGCTCAGAGGTTTGTCTTGTTTGTCTTCAGAGGATAGAAGAAATCAGTATAAGGCACATCTTCAAAGGTTACTATCAGTGGGAATCGGGAGACAACCCGGGAAATCAGGTTGTGGACATTTTCTCTCGAACACGCGCCGGTACTCTCCCCATCATTACGGAATGTCGGGGCGTATCAGCCAGTAGGAGTGCGCACACTGTTTGAAGCCGTTCTGCACCATCCAGCGCTTTTCGTTGATACGGGTATTGCGCACAAAAGTGGCTTAAGAAACGATAAGTACGAAGGATTATAAATGCTGTCATGCTCATTTGGCATCGCTTCAAAACTTGGGCCCCAAAAAGATTTTGGCACCGCGGAAAACGCAGCCGCACTGACCCGCCCCGACAGTCCGTAATGATGAGGAAAGTAATTTCTTCGATCTTACTGACGCTTCGAGAATCCTTAAGAACATTTTCGTGGGCGGTGGTCGATGCCTCCGATCACTCACAAGAAATGATGGGTTTGGGCGCTGTTCGGCGACGAATGGGGGAGGGGCGGGGTGGGAGGCCATTGGTTGCTCACGCTTTTACAAGTCTCACTCTGGTGAAACCTGTGAACTACTGTAGAGCTGGAACAAGCTCGTCGAGCCGGCCATGGTAAAACCTGTCAACTCTTGTAGGCTCATGAAATAGCTCTCTAGATGGCTCGACACGTCAATGGGAAGAAGCACAAGTGCAAAATACCCCCCCCCGTCGCTGAACTGCGAACTGAAATTGTCGCACCGCGGACTAGAGGGAAGGGAACTCTTCTCAGAGACTAGCATACCCCACCCTTTTTCCTCAGCGACTATATACGACCACTATCGAGAAAATCCCAGCGATTACCCTGGCTGCAGGGACCCTATGTTACAGCTTCTCCTATAGAGTGCACACCCAAAACGTGAAAAATTCGCACCAGGCAACCCGACCCACTACACGTGTGGCTCCTCCTACTTCACATTGTGGGGGAGTCACATACGCCCTGGCAAGTCTTCCTGGACGGCTGACAAGATTTAGTGAGCGCGGTTGTTTGCGGACGGTAGCTTACGCAATTCCTGGGTCCTTGGCGCAAGGATTTGTAGTGCGCCATTGCACAGCAAAGTTCATCACAAAGGAGAGGGGATACCACCGGTCTCAGATGAATCCATTGCCTTCGACAAGGAGCGTGAGATCACGCTATGTCATATCAATTGGTCTACAGACACAAGGATAGCCTTAACTCTCCTCATTCAGGTGGTAACCAGCCAGAAATCCACATCGGTAACGAAGCACTAGCATTCTTCCTGCCGAGTTCACTTGCCGTCGGTGACTCAATTGTACCGGGTTTCTTTTCGTTTCTTCTTTTTTTGGAGTTTTTTTTTGTTATGCATCTGTCTAGTACACAGCCCATATCTACGGTTGCCATTCATGCACTCTGTTGTACTTTGTACTGCCGAGATTGGACCCTCGTCTTAATTTTGCTCATCAAACTTGCCAGCTCTGCAATGCGATCGTTTCGCATTTGCCCTTATCAGAGTTCTTCACGTTTGCCTTTCTCTTTCTTTTCGTTGTGATGTCATTTTATACTGTAGATAGATTCGGTGATAATATATTATATATTCTCAATGTGATTCGTTTCAGATAAACATTCGAAATTATTGCATTATTGACAGTTTACTCAAAGCTCAAAGACGATCCTCACGCTCAAGCGATTCGTAGGCTATAGAGGCTCAGAGTCAAGTAGTCTGATCCTCAGCCTCTAAGATTATCCCACATTTGCAGCTTTACAGTAAGTACCGAAGACTGTGGCTGCGGCCCCGTACATGGCCGCAGTTCTGACGCCTCCTAATTGTCCCGCCCACAAAAATCAAAAGCTACCTTCTGTCAGGAGTCTCGTTTTTCAGGCCGCGTTTTCCGTTCTTTTCCTGTGAGATGGTATTAAAACGGATGACGCGATGAAACGATTAGTGAGCCAGAGGCGGCAGGATACATCTTTCCTGGAACGAGCAGATCCGGAGAACTCGTCCAGAAAGGCTGCCAGGACCTTACTTACCATTAGGATAGGATGTCCCCAATGGTTTTTTTGATTTTTTTTCTCTTCCCTGGAGAATCACTTAGCGACTGAAGGTTTCTTACTGAACGCGGCTGAAACGCCACTACTCACAATACACAATCGGGGTCTGTCTCTAAGCTTCACATGGGCCATTAATTTCTGGGTCATTTTTCAATAGTTCGTTTCCAAACTAATTCCGCAGTGGCCATTTGATTTTTTACTATTGGCGTAACCCTCCACCTTGATATCTATAACATCTTGCCAAGGCAGTTTGTATATTCGCTCTTTGCAGGAGGTTCGAGGCTTGCTATCAAAGAACGTGAAGGTACATTATACAGTCACATCCTTTCAGATTATGAGCCAAAGACCGAAAGGGGTGGTGCGCTGGTCGACTACGAGGTGGCATTTGGCACTTTCGCTAGTTTCTGTTAAGCTACACGTCTCGTTTCGATAAAAGCTATAAACTTGTCAAGCGCGAACGAAGCCCCTGCTATCTAATGCCTTTACAGGAACTTACAAATCTCTACGATGATAACCGGCAAAATGCCCCCACCAAGCCCAACTGTGCCGGAGGACGTGGACAGGAGAAGCAATGTCAGGGCTACATGTTGGTCGTTCAGTCCAGACTGTGCAGCTTTCTCTGAGTCAGCTTTGCAATATGTGAGCGCGCTTTGTCACACAAGGAGACCACCCCCCTGTGTCCCACTCACCTCAGCTTTGCTGCCAGTCGTTATGCTGGTCGTTGTTTTTGGTCAGCATTGGTAGAAGAAACGCATGGCAGCCGTTGGATGACTCCCCTCCTCATCAGCAGCCCAACGTAATCTCCTTGAACTCCATTCGAGGCACTGCGACTCTCTTTTCTCCCTGCTTGAGCTATTGTCGCTTGCGCTTAGGAGTCCCACTCAGCTCTTGTCACCACACAGTCCGACTCGTCAGATCCATAATGGGCAATGAGAACGGGGTCAGCGAGGGGTAGAGGTAGACCATCGTTAACTGCCGCCATCCGAGGAATGACAGGGGTGGAATGCGAAGCACTTAGCATAGATTAGTACCTCCAGGAATTGGCTACCA